ACGGTCAGCTGCGCGAGCGTCGCGTTCTCGAAGCGCGTCATCACGACGCTCGCGGACCGCGCGTACTCCGTCTACGCCATCGACGTCGATGGCGATGGCGAAGTTGATGTGCTGTCTGTGTCCTACGACGACGACACGGTCGCGTGGTACGAGAACGACGGCTCGCAGTCGTTCGCCGAGCGCATCATCACGACGCTCGTGGACGCCGCCTACTCTGTCTTCGCCATCGACGTCGACGGCGACGGCGACGTCGACGCGCTGTCCGCGTCCTCTGAAGACGACACGGTCGCGTGGTACGAGAACGACGGGTCCCAGTCCTTCGCGGAGCGCGTCATCACGACGCTGGCGGACAGAGCCCGTGACGTCTTCGCCATCGACGTCGACTTCGACGGCGACGTCGACGCGCTCTCGGCGTCCCAAAACGATGACACGGTCGCGTGGTACGAGAACGACGGTTTCCAGTCTTTCACCGAGCGCATCATCACGACGCTGGCGGACGAGGCCTTCTCCGTCTTCGCCATCGACGTCGACGGCGACGGCGACGTCGACGCGCTCTCGGCGTCCTGGGGCGACGACACGGTCGCGTGGTACGAGAACGGCGGGTCCCAGTCCTTCGTCGAGCGCGTCATCACCGGCTCGGCGGACGGCAGCGGGTCCGTCTTCGCGATCGACGTCGACGGCGACGGTGACGTCGACGCGCTCTCGGCTTCCTCCATCGATGACACGGTCGCGTGGTACGAGAACGACGGCTCCCAGTCCTTCACGGAGCGCATCATCACGACGCTGGCGAATGGCGCCCGCTCCGTCTTCGCGATCGACGTCGACGGCGACGGCAACGTCGACGCGCTGTCGACGTCCTTCTACGACGACACGGTCGCGTGGTACGAGAACGACGGGTCCCAGTCCTTCGCGGAGCGCTTCATCACGGCGCTAGCGGACGGCGCCCGCTCCGTCTACGCGATCGACGTCGACGGCGACGGCGACGTCGACGCGCTGTCGGCGTCCCAAAACGATGACACGGTCGCCTGGTACGAGAACGACGGCTCCGAGTCCTTCACGGAGCGCATCGTCACGACGCTCGCGGACGGCGCGTTCTCCGTCGTCGCGATCGACGTCGACGGCGACGGCGACGTTGACGCGCTCTCGGCCTCCGACAATGACGACACGGTCGCGTGGTACGAGAACGACTGCGCGACGGCACCGCCGTCCGCGACGCCGTCCGCGAGCTCCGCGCCGTCTCCTGCCCCGACGCCGCGGCCGACGGTCAGCTGCGCGAGCGTCGCGTTCTCGAAGCGCGTCATCACGACGCTCGCGGACCGCGCGTACTCCGTCTACGCCATCGACGTCGATGGCGATGGCGAAGTGA